CTGCGTCCTGGTCAGGGTCAGTGGACCTGTGCTCACGTATGCATTATGTTGATATGAAAGACTGAAGGGGCTGTGTATGGTGGCACATGCCTGTAATCCCAGCACTTTGGGAGGCCGAGGTGGGTGGATCACCTGAGGTCAGGAGTTTGTGACCAGCCTGGCCAACATGGCGAAATGCTGTCTCTACTAAAGATACAAAATTTAGCCGGGCATAGTGGCAGGTGCCAGTAATCCCAGCTACTTGGGAGGCTGAGGCAGAAGAATCGCTTGAATCCGGGAGGCGGAGGTTGCAGTGAGCCAAGATCGCACTGTTGCACTCCAGCCTGGGTGACAGAGAGAGACTCTGTCTCAAAATAAATAAATAAATAAAAAGAAAGACTGAAGGAGGGACCGTTAGGAAACATGCACATGATAAATGCTTTTTAATGCTCTGAAATTTTACGAGGGAGCTGCACATTTTGTACCTGTTGAGAACAGTTTTTTGCTTTTTGTTTTAAGGACTGTTTAAAGCTGGTTGGGCATTGATTGACAATGTATAGCAGTGCCTGGTTATACCAAGATGGTAAATCAAGACTCTGCCTTCAAGGAGCTCCCATCAAGTGCTCCAACAGGAGAGACAAGGACGGCTTCTTAGAAGAGGAAGCTCAGGGGACAGGAGAGAGGGTAGGCGGGGAGGCCATGGAAACTATCCTGGGCAGAGGGCAGAGCCCTGGGGACCGGGAGTGACGGAACAAAAGCAGAATGCCAGGCTGGAGAAAACAATGCTGTTCCTTTTTTCCTGGGTGCTTGTGGAAGAGGCTCCATGCTGTGATATTTTATAAGATACTGCAGAGACACTTGCTATTGAGAATTTGTATCTGAAATGTGGACCAGCTTACTCTTCCTGCTGCTCTGGTACCGCAGCTGTCAACTCTAACCCTAATGTAACTGATTCCTTTGCAAGATGCAGGGCAGAGGCCGGTTTTCAAGAAACGCCAACTATTCCATTCCTATTAGGTTTTAAAACTGCCTTTCACTTCTGTTCTAAGCAGCAGTTGGGTAATCATAAAGCCTCACAGCTCAGACCAGTGCTCCTGTTCCCAGCAGCTCATTAGAACCACTGGTGGTGCTTTTTAAAAACACACATGCCCAATCTACTAAAGCTGAACTTAGGTATACGCTGCACTCAGCAATTGCACTCCCAGGTAAACACCCAACAAATGTAAAACTTCACCAAAAGGCATACAAAAATTTTACGGCAACACTATTTATAATAGCGCCACAAAGAACCACCTAAGTACCTAGCAACAACTGAATGAGTAGATAAGTTGTAGTATATTCAAACAGTGGAATAGCATATAGCACTGAAAAGGAAAGAACTAATACAACACATACCATCATAGGTGAATTTTAGAAATACAGTGTAGAGTAAAATAAGCTAGATGCGAGAAAACACATCCTGCATAATTTCATTTTAGTTTTATATAAAAAATCAGAAAAAAATTAACCCATATGTTAATCAAGATAGTGGCTATGTCTTGGAAGGATAGTAACCAAAGGAGGCCCTGGGGGCCTTCTGGGATTCTGGGTGCTGACTGCATGAGTGCGTTCACTTGGTGAAAAGTCATCGAGCAGAGTATTTATGATTTATACATTTTTCTGTATAATGTTATATTATTTCATTAAAATTTTTTTAAACGACATCTGCCTAAATTTTACCCCCATATATTCAATTTCAGTCAATCTGGAATGAAATCCATTTACCTGTATTTTTTCAAGATTCTCGGGCCAGGCACAGTGGCTCATGCCTGTAATCCCTACACTTTGGGAGGCCAAGCCAGTGAGGATCACGTGAGATCAGGAGTTTGTGACCAGCCTGGCCAAAATGGTGAAACCCCACTCTACTAAAGATACAAAAAATTAGCCAGGCATGGTGGGGCACACCTGTAGTCCCAGCTACTCAAGAGAATTGCTTGAACCCTGGAGGTGGAGGTCGCAGTGAGCTGAGATTGTGCCACTGCCCTCCATCCTGGGTGACAGAGCAAGCCTCAGTCTCAAAAAAAATGATTCTCAGGTGTTTCTATTGTTCATCCAGTTTCAGGAATCACTGACTAGGATTACCATTGGTTTTAATTTCCTGGATTTAATCTCCTTTGTTTGCATATTAAAAGAGTTTACTCATTGCTTTTCTTTTCATTTTTTCCCCCTCAAAATAAGAGTAAAATAGTCAGCCAGGCATCTCCATGCCACTGAAATGAATGGAGGCCGGAAAGGTAGTACTTGCTTAGTGTCGGTATTTGATTTGCAGAAGTATTTGTACTCTGGAACTTCAAGAATCCCTCACAAAATTAATTCATTCAATTAGCCAAACGTTTATTGAACCCCTACAATAATAAGAGCTAACGATTACTAACTTTATGAAGCATTTCCCTGGGCTGGGCATGATCGTCTATCCTTTGCTTATGTTCTAGGGTTAAGTGTGGAGGTTCTGGAGCCAGGTGACCCTGCAAAACTCTGGCTTTGTAACTTAGTTGTGTGACTTTGGGAACGTTACTTTGCCAGTCTGTGACTCAGTTTCCCCCTCCGTAAATTAGGGATCATAATAATATTGATTCTTCAAGTTGGGCTGAGGAGTAAATAATGTTTAGCCCCCTACTGTAAGTGCGTGCCGCCTACTGTAGCGAGTGCTACATACGTATAAGCTATTCATTTTCACCAAAGCCTGGTGAGATGGCTGCTTGAATAATGCTAATTTTGTAGCTGAAGAAAGTAAGCTTAGGGAAGTTACACAACTTGTCCAAGGTCATACAGCTGGCAAATAGCAAAATCAGGATTCCAAGCCAGGTTACCTAATCCCAGCACTGGGATATGCTGCCATTACGCTCTCTTTCCTATGCGGACATAGTTCTTTCTGGGTCTGTGTTTTGATAGACGCAGGATTTAAATTTCTTTCTTTGTTTCTTTTTTTTTTTTTTTTTTTTTTTTTTTGAGACAGAGTTTTTCTCTGTTGCCCAGGCTGGAGTGCAGTGGTGCAATCTTGGTTCACTGCAAACTCTGCCTCCCAGGTTCAAGCAGTTCTCTGCCTCAGCCTCTCGAATAGCTGGGATTACAAGTGCCTGCCACCATGCTTGGCTAATTTTTGTATTTTTAGTAGAGAAGGGGTTTCACTATTTTGGCCACGCTGGTCTTGAACTCCTAACCTTGTGATCCACCCGCCTCGGCCTCTTAAAGTGCTGGGATTACAGGCATGAGCCAATGTGCATGGCCAGGGATTAGCTTTCTAAAAAGAAGATTCTGCTAAACAGATCTTTCAAGAGCCTCAAAAGCAAGACTATTTCATGAGCCAACTCATAGTGACAAGCACAGCCCCTGCAAGTGAAAAGGGGAGCTCTTCCCGGTTAATTTCCATCTGTCAAGGTGGGATGGAATGGGTAAGCTTTTTTGCTCCCTGAAGTCAAAAATACTTTTTTTTTTTTGAGACGGAGTTTTGCTCTTGTTGCAATGGCGCAATCTCAGCTCACTGCAACCTCTGCCTCGTGGGTTCAAGCAATTCTCCTGCCTCAGTCTCCTGAGTAGCTGGGACTATAGGTGCGCACCACCATGCCCAGATAATTTTTGTATTTTTAGTAGAGACTGTGTTTCAGTGAGGCTGGTTTGAACTCCTGACTTCATGATCCTCCTGCCTCAGCCTCCCAAAGTGCTGGGATTACAAGTGTGAGCCACCGTGCTTGGCCAAAAATACTTTTTAAAAAGGAGTTTGTTGTGCCTTGTTGCATAATACTGAGCGGTATTTATAGAACATGAAAATGAATATGAAAACTTTTATTTTGATTCATGGCCTCTTAGAAGTAAGTGGTGCTTTCATTAATAATTCTGACTTGACTTTTTCCTCCCAGGTTACTGGAAGTTTTTAAATGTTACAAATATGTTTCCTACTAGGGTTAGGGAATGAAGAGTGAAGAGGTAGAAAGAAGGAGGAAGTACATTCCTAAAGACACTAACGCTACCCATTTCTTTTTCTTTCTTTTTTTTTTTGAGACAGAGTTTCACTTTTGTTGTCCAGGCTGAAGTGTAGTGGCATAATCTCAGCTCACTGCAACCTCCATCTCCGGGGTTCAAGCGATTCTCCTGCCTCAGCCTCCCAAGTAGCTGGGATTACAGGCATGCGCCACCATGCCCAGCTAATTTTTTTGGTATTTTCAGTAGAGACGGGTTTCTCCATGTTGGTCAGGCTGGTCACGAACTCCCAACCTCAGGTGATCCGCCCATCTCAGCTTCCCAAAGTGCTGGGATTACAGGTATGAGCCACCGCACCCAGCTAACACTGCCAATTTCTGTAAAAGCAATTCCATGTATTGAGAGCTGCCATCGTGTAATAGATAGCAGGGGGTATTCGGTCCTTGATACTGTTAATTAGATATGTAAAGATTGCATTTTTTTTGGAGTTCAATTTAAATAAAAACTTTCATTAAACAATATCTCTCAGTAAAAACTTAGGTCTTAGCAATTAATAGGCAAAACTGTGTACCTAAGATTTTTATTATATTGATTCCAAAATAATTAGGTTGGCAAAAAGCATTGTGAATATCTCTCCCCACGTTAATACAAAGTGCTGCTATCATTCTGTTGTTTTTTTTAAAGATGGCTGCATCTTACCATGAAATATATTTCCAAGTTTTGCCAAGTATTAAGGTGATTGATTTTATTTTTCTTACTAGGAATTTAGGTTTATATTACTTTTTTAATAGCCTGTTTAAATACAAACCTGCTTTCACAGGCCTCCTGCCGCCCAAAACTCTCCCTGTTCAGCACAGAGATTTCTTGCTGATCACATTTTCCCCTATTCTTTTCTTTAAGCAAACACTGAAGGCTTTCAGCAGCTGCCCAAGATATCACTTTAAAACCTCTTAAGGCAGTTTGAAAGGCTTCCAAAAAAGCATGACATTCAATCAAAGTTCAGCAAGGAAAGTTTTAATGAATAAACTTAGTAAATTAGAAAGCACTGCGGCAGAGTGATTAACTCTCATTTGGGCATTAGTGTTGAAATTAATTAAAATGTTTAAGCCATAGGAGGCAGGCTACCTCGTCAGGACCTGGCTCTGCCCTCGGAGTCAGTCTGGATCCAGGAGTGATTCATCTTACACAGATGAGAGGGGGATAAAAGGAAAAGAACAGTCAGGACAAATGTGTTTTCAATGGTGCTTAGCAGCAGGAGACCACTGGGACTTCAGAGCAATGCTGCTGGAGTGTGACATCATAATACGGTATGTACACTGTGGAGTGGAGTGAAAAGGACTTTGCACTTACATCCTTGCTCCCTCTCCTTTCGATTGGATGCCATGTATATTCATTTCTCTGCCAGGCAGAATGCTGCAATTAGCTGTCTTCAAGACCACTCACAAATTAGCTCTGTTTCCCTGACTCTTTTTAAACCTGCTTGCCACCATTGATGTTCATGCAGTGACACAAAGAGGTAGGCTTGGTGTCCTGGTGGATTTCTCTAAGATCAACTCCACAGAATGTATAAAAATATAATTGCTTCAAACAGACTCTCAGACACACAACAACGGATTTATTGTTAAATTCCCTTGACAATATGCAGGGCAGAAACCATCTTTTCAAGAAACCCAAAATGTCCCATTCCCGTTAGGTTTTAAAATATCTCGTAAGCTCGATTTCTTTCCAGAACTATGGGTCTGTGGATCTTCTTATAGAAACCCATTACCATGTGGCTGTTTAACAAATCCGTGCCGGCTTAAAATCATAAATGACAGCCCATTTCATAAAGAGAAAAGTCCTCTTTGACAGGAAAACAATCTCAGTTGGTTCTCCTTGGATAACAAACGGACTTGCTTCAGGCCCGGCACCATAGCTGTTTCTGAAATAGTGTGGCGATGGATTGCCATTCCTATTTCGGGGGTCCTAATTAAGGAGCTTTCAGAAATTAGTAACCACCTGCAAGTCTGCATTATTTCCACCAGGAGAAAATTATCATGATTTGCAAAGATCTACATTCATAACTTTAAAAACTGTCCGTCTTCCTTATGTTTTGCTGGTATAGATTTCTTGTCAGCCTCAGTGTCAGAGGTCACTGCCACAGTGTCCCTTTGGTACCCATTAACTATAACCAGCAAACTTGTTCACTATTGATCCACTATGTCTAAGTATCTATTATGGTGGATATAAAAGGTGGCTTCACATCTTTCTAAACAGATAATTCATAAAGGCCAAGGGGTCATGGCTCGTGATATATTATTCTTTCACTGTATTTGTGACTGAATGAACAAAGAGAGAGAGGATGCAAAAGGGGTGCCAAGGGTCATGAGTGTTAGACTAGAGAGGTAGAAAGTTGTGCGTCAATTGGACACATTAACATCCATAGAAATAATAAAAGGCATTAATAATATTTGTTCATGACCTCATTATCGATTCATTCTACTCAGAAGCAGAGGTTCCTAAGTGAATGAAGACAGAGTTGATTTTTACCACCAAAGTTCAGTTGCAGTTGAACTCTAAACTGGAAGTCAACTAGAGACAGTAAAATATATTCCAGTAGGCACATATTGGGTCCTGGGATTGATACATTTTGCGGGCAATGCATCATTTGGGGCAAAGCAACTGTTTGGGGAACAGAAGCCTCACATAGAAAGTGTTAAGGGTCTGCAGGGCCCCGATGGGCTCAGCACATCACCACGTTCCTTTGGGATTGCTTGATTCATCATGTTATTTAACCTCCGCTGGTTCATATTGAACATTCAGCAATACACTACAGAGGCCATTGCTAATGTTCCACACGTTCCCAGCTTAAAGGAAAGCATCTCATTAGGAGAACAATAAGGATCTAATGAGTGAGCCTTGCTCAGAAGTTAGCTGACATTGGGCTCATTTAATGCTGTTTATGGTCTTCTACCCACTGAAGAACCCGGAGATGGCGCGCTTTCTCAAGACTACAGTTTGGAGGAAAGTAAATTGAGATGAATCATGGTGAGATGAGATAGTTAAAATGTCATGCTCCATAAGTTTGAATGCATCCTTCAAGTTCTGAACAGTAAAATGCAACTGAACACTGAAACAAGAGAAACAAAGAAAAAGCAGATAACTAGCAAAACAAACCTGCCTTCTTGGACAAGGATGCTTCATGGGGGAACCAAAAACATCTTTTCGGAGCCCTCCTTGAATATGCACCAGCATGCACACACACACACACACACACACGCGCGCGCGCGCACGCGCACACACACACACACACACACACACACGCACGCACACACCCCCTCCCAAATTTCCTTCCTTTGCCACCAGACTTCAATACATTAAAACCTTTTAAACAACAACAATAAAAAAAAAACCTATTATGGATCAGGGATGACACATCAAGATTGTAAGATTTTATTTTAGAGACCAACAATAAACCACTAGCTTTATTTCTGTTTACAAATGTGAGCCAGTCCCTAGACTGGCTGGGTAAATTATAAATTGTCTCCAGTAAATGTGGGAGCCAGCAGTCATGTGTTTCTGAATCAGGATAGACCTTTTTAGCTTACGGAGTGTGTCAAGGAGAGGCTTGGGGGTTGGGAGGGTGGGATACGGGAGCTGCACAGTGGCTTCGCCAGTTTCTCCTTCCAGAACCCCATTCACTTCAAGTATCTACAAACTCGATGACTGGATATAAGTTAGAACATCCTAAGAGAAATCCAAGAATGACCTATTTCCTGGAAGCTACCAATCTAAGTGAATAGTCTAACCCTGGGGATAGCTTTTCTTCGTTATGTGAAACCCCAGTCATTGAGACAACTGAGGTCCTGGGGGAATTTTCCTTCAATGTCCGTGGTTCTCAATCTTTTTGTGAAACAATGACCCTTTTGAGACCATAACAAAAACTATGACCCCTCTCTTGAGAAAAATATTGATACACACAAAATTTTGCATATGTTTGAGGGATTCATAGCATTCCTCAGATTGCCACAGGTTAAGAATGCTATTCTAAATAGGGGAAGAAAGAAAGAAAGAAAGAGAGAGAGAGAGAGAGAGAGAAGGAAAGAAAAAGAAAGAAAGAAAGAAAAAGAAAGAAAGAAAGAAAGAAAGAAAGAAAGAAAAAAAGCATTGATAGAATTGCCCTTCCTTCTTCCAGAAAGAAAAAAAATCAAAGCTTAGAGATGAGCTAGCCATTGTAACCCCAAACTCCAAATAATATTGTCCTTAATAATAATAACCAAGTGTCATGTAAGTGGTCTCTGTGGACATCTCTAGTCTTCATAATAATTTTTATTTTTATTTAATGTTTGGAGATGTTGTAAAAAGTGACTACTGTTTCAAAATGTGACCTCTGTGAGGTTTAAAACCTACTGAATCAGATGAGATATGAAAGCGTTCAATATAATGTATGACTTAAAGCTATGTTTTTTAAACTTTAATAGGAAATGTCTGACTCTTAGATCACTGTTTCTAAAGCCTGGCAGACAGAAACATGTCTTTTAAAAAGGTCTAATTTATATACCAAATAGAGATCCAGCAGGTAGAAATGATGCCTTTCCTTTTTACCTTGTGCCAACCAGAATCTTTCATCAGCTTTGAATACACCTCAGCTTCGGCAATATTTTAAGCATGCTAACTCATCTCATTTATTTTCAAAGGTTTTTCAAGCACTGTGCTAGACAATGGGATACTAACATAAGCAAATCATGGTCTTTGTTCTTGAGAGGCTTATAGTACTGGGGCGGACAGGTGTGCGTGAACACCACCTACACAGCTATGGTGGGGGCTTAAACAGCATCCATTCCCTTCTTCCTCCCTCCTGACAGGATTCTCTCTGTCTCTCTCTCTCTCTCTCTCTTTTTTTTGGAGACAGGATCTCACCATGTCACCCAAGCTGGAGTGCAGTGGCATAATCCTGGCTCACTGCAACCTCCACCTCTCAGGCTTAAGGATTCCTCTCACCTCAGCCTCCCTAGTAGCTGGGACTACAGGTGTGCACCACCACACCTGGCTAATTTTTGTATTTTTCTGTAGAGACAGGTTTGACCATCTTGCCCAGGCTGGTCTTTAACTCCTGGGTTCAAGAAATCCATTTACCTTGGCCTCCCAAAGTGCTGGGATTGCAGGTGTGAGCCATAGTGTCCAGCCCAGAACTCCATTTTAACTTGAGCACCTACCCCTCCTGTACATAAGCTATGTGATATTAGGAAAGCTGACCCACACTGGACTATACCAGTCATGGTAATCCTATACATACCCTTGTCTGTAATTGGTTCAGGCAACATGGCTTCAGCCTATTGCTTAATTGGTGATGGTAATTGGTCCAGGGATGAGCATGTGACCTAAAGCCCTCATCACATCAAAGGGAAGGACAACTTCAGGGAAGGTTCTCTCTCTTCTCCTCTATGCATGTTGCCCCAATTGTTATTAGCAACTGTCTTGTTACCACTGGGGAGATGGGCCTGAGGACAAAACAAAGATATCTGGGATGGCAGATCTGAGAAAATTTCAGAAAGCCTGATTATATCACATCTGAAGCCCAGTCTACAATCCAAATGGCCTTTATGTGAGATCAATCTACTATTTTCTTTTTGTTTAGTCTTCTTTGGGTAGGGCTTTCTGTTCTATGCAGACCAAAATCTTCCTGACTGTCATCCCAGCTATTGGAGAGTGACGGTACCCATGGTATGCTACAAAAATCTTCAGAAAAAGCCACAGAGGGTGGACACAATCATTCTGGTGGGAAGTTTCTGGAGAAGGGGATACTTGAGCTGAGTTTTACAGGTTGAATAGGAGTTGGCTGAGCCCATATAAAGGGGAAAAGTGTTCTAAAGAGAAGAACAAGTGAGCAGAGGTGTGCCGGTGTCTTCGAGGTTGTTGGGAGAGCTGTATGGCTAGAGTGAAATGGGTATTCAGGGGATGTTTTGGAAGATGAGACAGAAGAGGTGGCAAGGGCTGGATCATGAAGGGTCTCACTTTCCATGTGAATGTGGATTTTCTATCAAAGGTAACTGGGAGCCATTGAAGGATGTTAAGCTAAGCGGCATGGTCAGTGTAGCATTTTAAACAGGTTGCTGGTGGCCCCTGTGGAAGGTGAGTTGGGAGTCGAAGGTGAGTTGGACAGTTCTGGAGAAAGGGGGTTCAGTTCGAGAGTCTCCATTTTGCTGGAATTCTCTGTCATCCTCTCCCAACAAGGGGCAGAAAATGTGGACTCTTTCTGGACAGTTCAGAGAAGGGAGCTGTGAAGGCTGATTCAGATCCAGGTTGGTGCTCAAGATATAGAACACTG